AAAAAAAGGAGTTAAGTGGACGGGAGATGGGGGATGTAGCTCAGTTGGTAGAGTACTTGCCTAGCACGTACACAACCCTGGATTTGATGCCCAGCCCTTATAACTGGGTATGGTGGCACAGGTCTATAATCTTAACACTTGGTGGTAGAGGCAAGAGAATTAGAAGTTCAAGGTCATCCTTGGCTACACAGTGAATTAGAGGCTGATGTTGAATATATGAGACTCTGTCTCCAAAAAATAAAAAAGGTGTTATGGCGATGGCTCAGTGGGTAAGGGCACTTACTGCCAAGCCTGACAACCTGAGCTTGATCCCTAAGACCAATGTGGTGGAAGGAGAGAACTAATTCCCACAAGTTGTTCTCTGATCTGCACACAAGCACAGATGTGCATGTACACACATACATTAATAAATACATGTAAAGTTTGTTTTTAGTTAAGGGGATGGATATGTGGATAATTGGTGTCTTCCTGAAAAATTGGATGTGAAGGATGGGTGACCAGGGCTGCTACAGGTCATGAAAGAGTTGTTCAACTTAAATTCATACAAGAACTAGCTTTCTAGTTGGGTACCATGCACAGGGCTGTATTCCCAATATTCAGACTGAGGCAGAAATTTGAAAGTTCTAGGCCAGCTTGCATACTTGTTTCTCAAAACAACAAAAACTGGTAGAGAAGTGCTGCTGACTTAGGTGATGAGTTCTGATTTTAAACATTTTCAATAAGACTAGGATGCTATGTTAAGAGGGACTAGATGATCGCTAAGGACTTACTCCCAATTATTCCCACCAGCCCCCACCAGCCTATGAGCCTCCCACCCCAGCCCCTGCACCACTGCCGCCGCCCTCAGCTCCCTCACAGCCCTCAAGAAAGCTCAGCCCTACAGAACCCAAGAACTATGGCTCCTATAGCACTCAGGTAAAAAGGATGTGTGCAGGTGGGCACTGGGGAGTGGGCCAGTTCTGAGACTTGTATTTCATGCCTCTTTCGCTCATTCTGAGTAGGCCTCAGCTGCAGCAGCCACAGCTGAGCTGCTAAAGAAACAAGAGGAGCTCAACCGGAAGGCAGAGGAGTTGGACCGCCGGGAGCGAGAGCTGCAGCATGTTGCCCTGGGTGGCACAGGCAGTAAGTGGGTCTTTGTTAGGGTGAGGAAGAGTACCTGACAGTTTAGAAGGAAAAAAACATCTTTAGGAGCATGAGCTCATCATTCAGATTGTTGAATTTGAGTTGTAGTTGACACTGCTTCTTAGCCATGAACCCTTAAGCAGTTAATCTTTTTTATTTTCTGGTGGTGTTGGAAACACCACCCAGAACATCTTGCAGGCTGCATCACTGAACTATGCACCCAGCCATTTGCTACTTTATCTTGAGCATTTCAATTTCCTAATTTCTAAAATGTTATTTGCATTTTACAAATTGGGAAGCTGTAACCAGGCATGGTGGTGCACACCTTTAGTCCCAGCACTAAAGGTAGAGGCAGAGGCAGGTGGATCTATGTGAATTCAAGGCCAGCCTGGTCTACATAGTGAATTCTAGGCCAGCTGGACCTACAGGGAGATCCTGTCTCAAAACACACACACACACAAAAAAAAAAACCCAAAAAACAAAACAAAAAATATGGGAAGTTGTGAGGCTTGAACAAAATCAACTCTACAGAGCTCTTGACCCAATGCTTAGCTGTTGCAAGTAATAAACACTTGCTTACTGTTACTTTTCTACTCTTCTTCATTTGCTTATTATGTTGGACTTCAGGAAAGGGTCATGCTATATATGTAGCCCAGGCAGGCCTGAAACTTATAGTCCTTCTGCCTCAGCCAATGTGGCATTATAGGCCACTACCATGCCTACTGTTTACCACTCTTCATCTCTTTGGACCCATAACTGAGAGGACTTGGGACTGAGGGAGAGAGGAGTAGAGTCTCTTGTTGATCTGTGTCTCACTTCTGAGGTGTTCTGCTGTCTTTGTGCCTTGCAGCTCGACAGAACAATTGGCCCCCTCTACCTTCTTTTTGCCCAGTTCAGCCCTGCTTTTTCCAGGACATCTCCATGGAGATCCCCCAAGAATTTCAGAAGACAGTATCTACCATGTACTACCTCTGGATGTGTGAGTGTGAGATCTTTTGGGGAGACAGATAAGTCTGTGAAGTGCCTTGGAGCTCACTCACTGAGAATTAGACACTTCATTTCTCAACATTTCTCCAGGAATCTTCTGGGTGACTCTTTTATGACATTCGGGATTTACTTAAACTTATTCATCAATTTGCTAGTAGATATATGTCCTCACCCTGACCCTGTTCTTTATCACCAAGTATAAATGTATCCTGAAATCTTTAAAAGTCTTCTAAGATGGGCTGGAGCAATAGCTCAGTGATCAAGAGCAGTGACTGCTCTTGCAGAGGATCCAAGTTCAATTCCCAGCACCCAAATGGTGGCTAACAACCATCTATAAATACAGTTCCAGGGAATCTGACATCCTCTTCTGACCTCCGCAGGCATTGTACTACATGGGTGCACTTACATACATGCAGACAATATACTCATAAAATAAAAATAATAAATATTTTAAAAATAAATAAATAGCCAGGCATGATCCCAGCCTCTCGCTTTTAGTCCCAGCACTTGGGAGGCAGGTGGATCTCTATGAGTTTGAGGCCAGCCTGGTCTACATGGTGAGTTCCAGGCCAGCTGGGGCTACGGGGAGATCCTGTCTCAAAAAGACCCAAAAAAACAGGCTGGAGAGATGGCTAAGCAGTTAAGAGCACTGGCTGTTCTTGCAGAAGACCCGGGTTTGAATCCTAGCACCCACATGGCAGCTAACAACTGTCCGTAACTCCAGTTCCAGGGGATCCAACAGCCTCTTCTGACCTCCGCGGGCATTGCATGACATGAGTGCACTTACCTACATGAGGGAATACATGCATACACATTGAAAAAAAAAAAAGACCAAAAAAACTAAATAAATAGAGCTGGGCATGGTGACACACACCTTTAATCCCAGCACTCAGGAGTCAGAGGCGGGCAGATCTCTCTGAATTCAAGGCCAGCCTGATCTACATAGTGAGTTCCTGTCTCAGACCAAAAAAATAAAGTTTTGTAAAGAGATCACACATGATCTATGGGGTTTATTCCACCAAGACAGAACCACCCCCCCACCGCTACATTTGGTGAGGGCTGTTGTGGGGCATATGTGAAAAAGACTTCATTGCTGTCTAGGACTCTTCCTTCATCCTGTCCTTCTACCCCTTAGGCAGCACTCTGGCTCTTCTCCTGAATTTTCTTGCCTGCCTGGCCAGCTTCTGTGTGGAAACCAACAATGGTTCAGGCTTTGGGCTGTCTCTGCTCTGGGTCCTCCTTTTCACTCCCTGCTCCTTTGTTTGCTGGTACCGCCCCATGTATAAGGCTTTCCGGTAAGTGAAAGAGGAGTGATGGATGGCCTGGGAAGGGACCCACAGCTGCTCCAGCCCTAATTCTCTAATTCCCTATACTTTTTTTTCTGTTTGCAGGAGTGACAGTTCATTCAATTTCTTCGTTTTTTTCTTCATTTTCTTCGTCCAGGATGTGTTCTTTGTCCTCCAGGCCATTGGCATCCCAGGGTGGGGCTTCAGGTCTGTGAGCTGCATCTACCCTTCCCTGTCCCTCCCATTCCTTTAGGCAAGCCAGCTCTGAGTTCTAGGATAGGTATTGTCTAGCAAAGGAACTGTGGGCTTTTGTGTGTGTGTGGGAGAGACTAGTTTAACAAGAGAGACAGAACATTCTCAGCTAGAGAGCCCAGAGAACTCCTCCAGACAGGCAGAAGCTGAGGGGAAGAAGGGTTCCTGGAGGAGGCTCTGTCACCTTGGGTTTGAAAGAGGCAAGGAAACACCCTCAAGTGAGAAGGGTCTGTTCTGGGTGAGGATGCCTAGAGAGCTAGGAGCTCAGGAACTGAGTTAAAGTGTAAGGAAAATGGATGTAGCGGGACTGTGATCCATGGAATGCTACCAAACTGGCACAAGAGTGGCCACTGGTGAGAGGGTTGGGAATAGGTCATGTTCACAGTAAATCTGGTAGAGACACTGGGAGAGCAGACCCTGTAGAGAGCAGCCCCTCCTCACCTGCACATTTTCCCCCACAGTGGCTGGATTTCTGCTGTGGTGGTGGTGAAAGCCAACACAGCTGTAGCTGTGCTCATGCTGCTGGTTGCCCTGCTCTTCACCGGCATTGCCGTGCTGGGAATTGTGATGCTGAAGCGGGTGAGGGACTGACTGGGTGGAAGGTGGGGCATGGAGGGTGAGATCATGGAGAGGGGGGACATTAAGAAAGAACTAGGTCAGGCCGGGCAGAGATGTTCTCAGCTAATGGACTTCTAGGGTGGGTGGGGAG